AAGAATGAGTACGTAATTCAATAAAACAATTATTAAAATAATTAAATAAAACAATTATTGGTGAAAGTCTTCAAAACCACTATAATTTTATGTGCAGGATCAAGTGGTTTTGAAGTACAGCATTTTATGAATAAAATGCATTGAACCAAAATAAAACAGCTTGTTAAATGTAAAATTATAGAAATAAGGAACATTATGCATATTCCAAAATACAGTGGCAATGTTTCCTTACCTTCTACCCCAAGAGGAGAACCAGTTCCTTTCATTTCAGTTAGGAAAGGAACGGGGTCGTTGAGATTCGACTGTAAAGTACTACTCTTAGAGTGCATAGTCTTGTCTGAGTTTTGTTCTGTTTTGAGTCCACGGACAGAATCATTTAAAACATCTGGTTATATGTAGTCAGACGTTGGCCTGTGCCCTAACATCTCAGAAGTCTTTTGGGGTTCTTTGAATAGAAGCAGCAGCAGCTACTACATGGTTCTGTCAATAAAATACAAATCTGAAATAATAAACTCTTCAAAGTGGAGCATCAGCTAGGAAAGGTACCCGTTAATATCCTACGCTGCATACAGCTAATACATCTGCCAATTCATCCAGGTGGGAGCAAAGAACAAAGCGTTGAGCCACATAACATTGATGCACCATTTGGGCCAGTCAAATAATGAGTCAAGAGCTGAGAAAAACCCCTACCTTAGGCCAGCAGTTCTCAGCCTGTGGGTCGCGACCCCTTTGGGGGGTCGAATGACCCTTTCACAGGGGTTGCATAAGACCATCGGAAAACATAAATATTTCACAATATATAATTACATTTTTTGTGATTAATCACTGTGCTTTAATTGTTTAATTATGTTCAATTTTTAACAATGAAAATACATCCTGCATATCAGCTATTTACATTATGATTCATGACAGTAGCAAAATTACAGTTAGGAAGTAGCAACGAAAATAATTTTATGGTTGGGGGTCACCACAACATGAGTAACTGTATTAAAGGGTCATGGCATCAGGAAAGTTGAGAATCACTGCCTTAGGCTATTCTTTAATCAGCATACTATTATTAGTTACTGAAATAGCTGGCTCTTACATTAAAAGAAACCTTTTTTTTTTTTAATGGTTTCTTATCTCTAGAAAAAAGATAATTGCACATGAGATTTTTCACATGTAAGCCTCAAAATATTTTGCTGATTTTGTTGTTGTTTACTTAGTCCAGTATGGTTCATTTTGGTTCTGCATGATATGAGTTGTATAAATCTTAATTAAATCCAAAATAGTCTTTTCCCTATATCTGATATAATCCATTTTTGTTGAAATATTTTGGTCAAGAATTTTCAGTGAGTCAGCAAAGTAAATCTTGAAATGGTTCTTATGGTAATAATTCTTAAACATGAAATAACTGATGGGAATTAACAGAAGTAAAGTAAAGCCAATGTGAAAAAATTAAAAATCCAGACAAAAATATCTCTAGACACAATGGCTGACTGTATTTTAATAGAGCTTCGGATATATACATAATACCAGGTAGTCAGAATATACCAAGATTATCAAATTTCTATACATATGAATAGTGATAAAAATTATTTAGGTAAACAATGTGAATTTTACAGTTAAAATCAGACTTTGATGGTAGTAGAGTCAAAGTTATCAAATGATCATAGCTTACTGAAGAAAAAAGATCTAGTATTTAATTAAAGATGTCTGAAAGTAAAGTTCAAATCTTTATTTTTTTCTAACCTATATGGCATCAGCATGAACTCAAAAATTTCATGGAATCCTGAATCCTTTCCTTGAAGGCAGATTACATAGAGGTTAAAAATCAATTCTTCAACTCAGTAATTAAAAATAATAAGGTTAATCATTTTGTTAGTTTATAGCAACAAAACCAATTTTTTTAACTTTAACATTTTATTGACATATAATTCATACATCATTAAATTCAATAGTTTAAACATATTACAAAGAGTCGTGCAGAAACCCAGTTTTTATGTTGTTTGACCATTAATTAACCTATCAAACTTTTAAACACAATAATTTATCAAATGAATTTATTTTTAATAAACTTTTTTAATGTTCTGTCTTCATTACTTATCTCTCCAGTGGCAAAAATTACCATACTCTGGCCAGACTCAACTACATATGCATGTTTGGATGGATAGATAGATAGATAGATAGATAGATAGATAGATAGATAGATAGATAGATAGATAGATAGACAGATATCTTAATGTCTACGATACATTCTGTAAAATAGAACGTGCAATTTGAACATTGTGTGAGCATCATATTACATAATAGAGAAGCATACCAGACAGTCACCAGGGGGGCCAGGACCTGCTCTGTAGCTACTGGTGCTTCTGGTCTCTGAGGACGCACCAGGCCCTTGCCCCCCCCAGCACACACTTGCTGTCCAGCGTGGCGTGTTATCGCCGCCACTGCCAGTTCCTGTCCCTTTCCTCCGCGCTTCCCTTCCCTGTCCTGTGAGCTCTGCCATGGTAGCCAGCCCCTCCTCTGTTCCCATTTCCACTTCTGTGCCCACCACCATAGGAAGAACCACAGCCTTAGTAGGCTTGGCATCTTGTGCAAGACACGTGGGCTTCTTGGGGCACTGGCCTTTGCACTGCATCCATAATGGTGGTGACATTGGCATCTACACAAGCCTTGCCTGGGAGACAGAAAACTACCAGGAGATGACAGGAGAACCGTCCTCTAGCGTTCCCGTCCCAGGAAAGATGTGGGTGGGACCAGAGAGCTATCAATAGACAGATTGGATCCAATAGGATCATTATGTTCAGCAAAGTATTTTCCATATATCTTGTTCTCCCATGAGGATTTCTGAACTCTATTATAAACTTATGGGACCATGGACATTACCCGAACATATATTAAATGATGCAAGTGGTATCGATCCTAAGAGCTTATAAACTTGAATTTTTTAAAAGTCATTTTATTGGGGCTCATACAACTCTATCACAATCCATACATGCATTAATTGTGTAAAGCACACTTACACATTTGTTGCCCTCATCATTCTCAAAATTTGCTTTCCGCTTGGGTTCCTGGAATCAGCTCCTCATTTTCCTTTTTCCCCTCCTCCTCCCTCCCCACTCCCCCTCCCTTATGAACCCTTAATAATTTATAAATTATTATTTTATCGTATCTTACACTGCCCGGCGTGGTATCCATTAACTCATTTTAATATCTACACATTACCTCGAAATCTTAGAATAAGCCTATATAAGACAATTTTTGTTGAAGTAAAGTTGGTCTAAATAATCCGTATTTCAATTTAATCCTTTACCATTTCTTATATTTTCTGATCTAACCTTAGGTTGCTCCTCAAATTTGTTTTGTTTTTCTTTTGTTCTGTTTGCTTGCTTGGGATCCAGCCAAATGGTTGGAGATAAAATTTATCTTATAGATGGTATACCTGCCTCATTAATGTAACTGTCTCTAGTCCTGCCTAATTAGCATCATAGAGAATTTGTATATAACCTGGGAGATAATAGCAATAATAGTCATGGCCCCAGGTCACCAGGAGTTAGAATCAGCTTCATGGTAGTGAATGTACCCAGTAGACATCCTACTTTGGAAGGACACAATTCAATCTATGAAACTGTTGCCTTGAACTAACCATAAAGTTTAAGCCAAAAATAGACCCCTGAAGTCTTCTGCAGACCAAGCTATAGTTTAACTAGTAGAAAATGTCTCCCCTGAGCACTGTGTTCTTTTAGGGACAATCTATGTCAACAAATTGGCAGCCCCGACCTTGGGAGACAGCGAATTTCCGCCAATAGAGGAGGACCCGCTCAGAAAGGGAGGGAGGTGAGAACGGGTACCCAGTTCTAGGAATGCAATCAGGATCACTAAACTGTACTTGTAGGAACAGTTGTATTGGTGTGTGTTTTGCTTGTGTGTGTTCTCAACGATTTAAAAAAAGCAAAACAACTCAACATAAAAAGTGTGAGTAAGCTGGGCAAAAACACTTCAGTAGCGTTTTATTCAAAGATATGCATGTTTTCCATTGTCTATGAATTGGCTAAAAAGTAGGTTGAACCCCTGAAAGGAAGTTTTTAATTTTACAAACAGATTTTAATGTTATGAAAAAATATTAATCTTTAGATTAATAAACGTTCATTGTAGATTTAGTTAAGTCCTTAAAGTAACATTTGTTAAACTTCAGTAGAAATACTTGATCTTTGCAGCCTGGGAAGTGAAAAATTACATAAACTAAATGTCACAAATTGCCATAATAAACAGACCTGACAGCTTAAGAATGATAAAAATTTTGTTGGCCTTTTACATTATAATGATGGTCTTTCGAATGATTTAATGCTTGAGTCCAGAGCCTGCTAAAGTACTTATTTTTCCAGAGGCAGTAATTAAGGACAACATAAGCTGGAAATGCGAAGCATCGTTTCATCTTCCTTAGGCGCAGGGAAGATATTCTGAGCCTTTGCTGGATAAACTTTAGTTAACATATTCTTGACATAATTCTATATATGTTTTTATTCTGTGAGGAAATCCAAATATAGTTTATACAAGTATCTGTAAAGATTGGTTGTGATAAAATATCATAAATTGGTAACTAAGTTTTATCTGACTGGCCACGTGAATAGCTAGGTAGTGTTTTAAGCCTTATTACTGAAAAAGTAATCAATTAAAGTATATTTTCTCCTTTTACATTTATAGGTATTATCTCCCTTCAGTTTATCCTTTGAATCGTGATATATTGTTTTCTAGTCTAGTGTATATAAGAAATGCATTAATTTATTTATTTATAAAGTCTAGTTGCAGCAATGTTATGACTTTGGTAACATTTTACACCATATAATATTTGTTTAAAATGGTTTATACAAATAAATCTGTACAGCCTTGGGTTGAAATGTAAACAACTGCACTATTAGAAAGATATTAAAGTAGAGGCTATATTTACAGTGTCGTCTTTCAAATCTAGCTATGCTGTAAACTGATGTTTGCTGTATGCTCCTCCTGATTTGAAATAGATGAAAGAAAATGAACCTATTATCACCATGGTTCACACAATGATTGAGAACTCGGCGCTAAGACCCCAACTGTACCAGCAAGTAAGGTCTTGGACAGTGAATGATACCGCTTTACCATCTGCAAAACCCCTCAGTGATAGTTTTGGTTTACCCTCAGATTTCCTCATAACATTAGTGTTGTTCTTATTTTATTTTTTGTTTATGTTTATTTGGAAAACCACATGTCATCCATGCTTCTCAAGATGCTGCAGTATTCTTAGCATGGCTTTGCTGAACATTTGCTGTTGAATATTAAATGTGTCATTTTCCTGAAGTTTGTGTAGATTATTCAACTGATATGTACTTGGAGGTCTGCAGTACATTTGCAAAATTTCTAATAGTTTGCCATTTATTTTAGTCAACCTTAACTATTAGATCTGTGATTTCTTTAAGGTGGGGGTGGTATCTTCAAAACATTTTTTTCTTTCAGGGGTAGCACTTTACCCCTAAATGTTTTAGGAATAGATTATATTTTTATTAGAGATGTTTAAGTTGGTTTGGAGTGGTTTTTTTTAAGTCTAGTTTTTGGCCTTTTGGTGAATGAGATCTCAAAATTACTTTCAAAAGAAAAGACTGGAATGGTAGAATCTAAACATTTCTTAACATCTGGGCTGGAGATGCTCTTTCCCTTATATTCTTACATTCTTGTGGTTGTCAGGAGAGTCACAACTTTGCCCGTTGTTTTGCCTAACTCAAGATTTGTCTCAAGGAGTTGGCTTGGCTTGAATTTAGGAAATTTGGTAGTCTGCAGATCTGCAAAAGAAGTCATTGTATATGTTTCTATTCTAATTATTTTGTAATTCATGGTCTTACTGTTCCTAGCTATGTGTTTTTGCCACATCAGCTTCTTCCACTTCAAACCCCTCTGATTATTCTGGCCTATGACTGTTACGATATTTTTACACCATGTAGAAGAAAGTTTACTAGCATGAAAAATGAATGTGGTTTTGTTTGTTTGTTTTCTTAATGTGCATAAAAACACCTGGTAAAAAGAATCACCTTGGGCTCACATTGGCATCAAAGGCCTCTGGTTAAACTCAGGAGCTGAAGAAGCTGCGTCATGGAGCCAGGTGACGGGAAGATGAATACAGTTGACTCTTAGTCCTGGATCATTTTCAACACCTTCAGTATGTTGTATGATTGGATATAGTCCTCAACTTGCAGTGCAGTGAAAAACACATTAATTATATAAGTTATATATATTAATATATGGATTTAAATACATAAAATTAAACAGCTTTACTTCTCAAAAGGAAGTTCTTACAAAATCACCAGATTATGCAGAAGTTCACCAAGCCATCCAAAGTGCCACACTGAGAATCTTATTATTAGTTCAGAAATTAGAACTTTTTCAGTATCTAAAGCTTGTCAGTTTATCCTTTTGTATAATGCTTAATTGACATGGTACCAAAGGCACTTTGTTGTAATAGATGATATTTTTAGATTTTACATTTTTTATATGTTTAATAAGAGTGATAACATTGCAGTTTGATTTGGTTTTTCTTTCTTAAATGGACCAGCACTGAGGGTTGATGACGCATAAGACAACTGATAGTTTAAATTATTCATTAACACTAAAAGTTCCCATTGGGGTTTCTGAATAATCTGAAATCTGTGAAACTACTCTTCTATAACGTCACTGACCCGGAATACTGCAGGAGCAATAAAGAGATTTATACAAATACATTTGTTCATGCTAATTTTTTTTTTTTTTTACCTCAAAAGCAAAAACTGCCCAGAACAGAAAGGCTTGCATGTCCAATGTCAGTAGCTCTGCTGGGCATGGTTGGGCAGTCATTTACCCAGATCTCTGCTGATGCTTAATGTAGTGCTGTCAAAGCTGTGGAATCTTCTTGAGATCAGAAGAACTAGACGGTACTCACCTGCAACTATTTACTCAGCTGTGACGGAGATCATAACAGAGGGTACCTCCCAGAATGGGTGAAAAACGTAAGACAAAACAATCAAATTCACAACTTAGACCATACTAGATCTGACAGAGACTGGAGGAACACCTGTGACTATGATTCCAAAATAATTTTCTGACTTGGAACTGAAGCCATTCTTGAAGACCACCTGACCACCAAACGGTGGTTTTTAGGTGCCCGTAAGTCGGTTCTGATTCAGTGACCCTGTGCACAACAGAATGGAACACTGCCCAGGCTGCACCCTCCTCCCAGTGTTCTTATATGAGAGCCATCTGTTTCGACCTCTGCCTCAGTCCTCATCACATTGTCTTCCTCTTTGGTGTTATCCTTCCACTTTACCAATTGCGATGTTCCTCCCCAGGGACTGATGGCATATCCAAAGTGTAAGAGGTGAAGTCTTGGCCCTACTCCTTGTCCCGGAAAACATTGGTTGGTTCTTCTGGCAATCTATTGTACTTTCAGTATTCTTTGCCAACAACATAATTCAACTACATCGATTCTCCCCTGCATTCTTACTCACTATCCAGCTGTCACATGCATATAAGGTGATTGAAAGTGCCGTGGCTTACAATAGGCCACAAAATAATAACACCGAGAAGAGTCCCATTCTTTAATATGGGACGATATTTGCCCAAAGTCAAAAGTGAGAGAGCAGGAAGACGCAGAGCGCCAGACAAAAGGAAGGGAAGCACATGCAGGGTGGAGGGAGGACTGACACGTTGTGGGAAATGCAGCCAGTGTCAGGAAGCATTCTGTGTGTCTGATATCCAGTGAGAAACTAATTTGCGATGTGACCTTTCACCTGCAGCACAATAGAAGTGGGGGAACGGGCTGTTAATTGTGTCTCCACTTTTTTTTCCCGACCAGCCACTGATAATGGATTTAGTTAATTCAGGTATTATAAATGGATAAATGTGATGGTGAAGGCCAGTTTTCCAGCATACACAGATTCAAATAAAATCTGATTTTTCTTAAGACTTTATTGTGTTTTAGCCAAACAAAATCTGAATGAAAATTTATGTGGTACACTCTTTGGGTGTGCTTTTCCAACGTTGCATTCTGATGGGATTTTGGGGGGTGAAGGGGGGGAACCTCACTGTCATCAAGTCGATTCCAACTCATAGCAATCGTATGATAAGCAGAGCTGCCCCTCGGGGTTTCTGAAACTGATTATTTTTACAGGAGTACAAATCCTCATCTTTCTCCCGAAGAGCAGTTTTGAACCCTAGCCCAATGGTTAGCAGCCTGACTTGTAACAGTACGCCACCAGGGCTTCTTGAAGTTTTATAATAAATCCCTGACATTTAGCTGGCAATACAGAGGCAAAGTAAGATTTTTATAGCCTGCTTCGTTCTTAATCATAGCTTCTTCCCCACAGCCACTCCATTTCACCTCGGGAGGACCTTTATGTCTTAAAAGGAGGAGAAGAATATGTGGGAAATTACCTACATGGTAATTTTCTTAAATTGACAGATTAAAGGGGTCTAAAACGGAATCAAAACATATGCCAAATAGCGAGCATCAAGTTGAAAAAAATAATCTATATTCATTTATTGTTATACCACATTTCTTTTATCTTTTTGTACTATATTTTTCTCTCATGGTACTCTCAGTGAAATTAATCACCTGATGAATAATTGTTCTAAAAAATACAAATACTATCTTATAAGCATTTTCAGTTCTCACAGGAAATAGTGTCACTAATCAGAAGATTCCTCTGGTAATTCTTTTGAAAATATAACTTTCTTTAAAATATGTAATTTATATAATTAAAAGGCATATTGAAAAAAAAAAGACATATTGTAGAAAGTGGAATTTTGATAACAATAGGTAATTTTATTTTGACTTGATGACAGGCATTTTGTCTTTCTAATTTAAATGCCGTAGTACAAAAAGGTTTTAACATTCTCATAATGTCTGCTCCGTGTATACAGACATCTCATTCGAGATTATAATTACTGCACTGCTCAAGCTTATGTCAGGTCAATTCAGTCTACTTCCTTTGCTTTTTAAGACTTGCTAAAGTGCTTCAAAAGGCTACAGTATTGAAATCCAAACGTCTGGGCTCTTTATGTTAGTTTTAAATTTGGGATGTGGTAAGAAGTAATACCAGGAACATCATATATCCAAAGCATTAATTAATCCAAATATTTCATTTTTATTAGTGATAATATTGTCATATTAAGGACTAAATAGTGAACTTCCTAAGTCCTATTAGGTTACTAATTTATAATATAAAATGTAATGTTTAAAATTAAAAGCAACAATCTTGTTTTCTTATACTTTTTTTTTCCCTATCTGTCACTTGAAAGCAGTGTGTAGAGCAAGATTAAATAAGATTTTTGTTTTGTCTTAGTGTTCCCTAGTCTATCTCTATAGGTTCTAATATCCGTTGCAATGGTTACACAGAACTCATAGACAATATTCATTAAGGGTTTATTAAGGAAGTTAGCAGGTTGTCATGCCATTGAAAAATGTTCAGGGTAGTTATTTATAAGGACAAGTTACAAAGTTCTTTCAGATAGCTAGTAAATGCCCAAAGGGCATCTCCCTCCACTAGAAGCCTCAACCCAAAGGCATTGAGCTCAGGCGCCATGAGTCAGCAAACCCAGCTCCTGAATTACAGTAAACGCCCAGATTCACGTTACTCCAGTAAGCTTCAGCCGAGGGCACTCAGCTCGACTTACTTGGGCCACCAGCAAGCCCAGCTTCCCCAGCGAGGTGCCCAGACGCGTCCGACTCCACACGCCAACCTTCAGTAGGAAAGCACTCAGATATGCTTGTTTCACGCTTTGGGAAGTCCACCCCTCTCTTCCTGACTCCTGACTCTGCTGCTACTTCTCTGATGTTATAGCTGTCTTCTGGATCCAGGCAGTTCACTGCACAAGGATTTTGGGTCCAGAGAACACACTCCATTCCTGGCCTGGCTCTTGCTGGTAATGAGATCCCTCCTCCTGCTTCTCAGAGTTCTCATTTTATGGCATTCCAAGAAATTCTGTTCACAATGACTCACAAGTGAATCCTATTAGTATCTTTCCCCACTTTCTTACCAGACAGACCCTTACAGGGAAGTCATTAGGGAGGAATTAGAGACATTGGCTAGAATAGCCACATTGAATAATTCACTGTCTCTTCAATTTTTATTAGCTGGAATCTAATAATGAGTAGTGTCTATTGAATAATTAAATTTTCATCAAAACTAAAACTATAGGTACAATATATAAATCTGGCTTTTATATGTAGTATATATATATGATTAAGAATTTTAAACTGTATGTTCACATTTATTTTTATAATGTGATAATTTAAAAATCAATATTCAGTAAAAGATTCCCTAAATAAAAATAGCATGACAATATGGTAAATATTAC